CCTGGCTGCGCCGCTGCTGGGCCTGGGGCGCACCCGCCAGCAGCACCCGGGAGCTACTCTCGGCGCGCTGAGGCCCGGCCGGCACGTACTCTGAGCCCGAGTTGAGCAGGCTGTACACCTGCCCGTTGTTCTCCCACTGGATCAGCTGCCGCCAGCGCCCCGGGTCCGAGCCCTGCCCCGGCTGCGCCTGCTGGCCGTGCACCAGGACGCACAGGCAGGCGCCCCACACCACGGCCCCCAGCTGCCAGCCCACTCGGGCCAGAGCCATGGTGGCCCCTCTGCAGAGGCCTGGTGGACAGAAAGGCTTTCAGGAGTGGCCCCCTGTGCGTGCTTCTCTTCCCACAGCCTCGAGGACGGGACGGCTCCTTGCCTGCCCGAGCTCTAGCTTTGTCCATCCTGGCTTTGTCCCGAGCGGGACGGCTCCTCCGATGACAGCATTTCGAGGCCAAAGGGGCAGGGCAGGGCAGGGGCGGTGCCCTGGGCTGCACGAGGCTCTCCGCAGGGCACCGGGCGGGCAGGACCGCCTGGGGGCCTTACATGGCCAGTCCAGCACTGGCTGGCCGCTGGCCTGGCGCTTTCCCACTCTGAATGAATAAGCAACAGGCTGGGAGCGTCGGGAAGTTTCGGGCGCCTAGTCTGCCTGCTGGGGCCTCCTCCGCCGGGCCCTATGGCCCGCCGGGTTTTAGCTATGTGGCCTGTCCCACAGCTGCAGTGCTCTCTCAGCCCCTGGAGCTCCCAGCCAAGCCGCAGACCTGCCTCTGAGGAGGGGAATGAAACAAGGGGTGGGGGGAAGGAGGAGGCCTCTGGGGACCCACGCCTGGTAAGTGGGCTTTGGCAGGCAGAACAGGGCTGGGGTGTCAGTACTACTCTGCCCATTCCTCTCTGCTTTGGACACAGCATCCCCAGTCTCCACCTTACTTACTGGCTTCGTGTTTGGGCTGGAATGGGCTCTGACTCCTGTCTGCTCCAGCCTCTCCCCAGGATCCCTGGGTTCCCTTTTCCCTTGTTTCCCAAAGCCAGTGCTAAGAGACACCTTCTCTGTTGGGAAGAGGCTGAACAGGGTCCTCTCCTTCTAGACCCCAGGTGTAGTTAGTTCTTGGGCCTGAGTACAAAGGTGCTGGAACTTCAGCTTTTCCCTCTTGGCACACCTCTGGGCCTTACTTTCCCAGTCTGTAGAATGGAACGTGTCCCTGGGCTGAATAGGGCTTGTGAAATTGGGAGAGATCAACTTGTCACACATGTGTGGGTTCTGTCCTGCATCTCTTGATTCTACATAGCCTGGGAATAACCTTAGTGTACTCATGAATAAAATGAAACCCAGGGTTGTCTTTGTTATGGTGTAGGGATCACTGTTGCTGTGATTAAGTTGCTGGGTGATCTTGGGCAAGTCCCTTCCCCTCTCTTATCCAGTTGTCACATTTGACCAGTGGAGATTTAGACCAGATGGTTTCTAAGAGTGCTTTGGGAGATTCTCTGTTACCTCTGGTGATGGCAGGGATAGGAGGGGTCACAGAAATTTGAACACTTTGCCATCCAAGAAATCACACTGTGAATGCTGCTCTTAAGACAGCCCTCTCCTGGGCTGCCTTCTACGGCTTTGCTCCTGGCAACTGGAGGGCAGAAATTCCCCTCTTGTGCTTATAAACAAGGTGGGAAGAACCTGCCCTTAATTTGGCCTCTGCAGATTCCCGCTGTTTTGGAAACTCCTGAAGCCCACCGTGGGAGGAGACAGCCAGAATGGACATTCCTTGGGGACTGTGGACCTCCCACCCCCATCCTTGCCAGGCAGCGTTTGTTCACCCATTGTATGGTTCTTCAGGACTGTGGCTTGGTTCAGGTGACTCAGGGCACATTTCTACCCTTTCAATGCCCAGCATCCAGCTAGGGAGGTGGGACGCTTCTAACACCATTCCTGGCTAGCAGCTGCTCAGCACTGATGCCTCAGCTCTCCAGCATAGAGTTTGGTCTTAGAGTGCAGACAGGATTCTTAGGAGCAGTGACTGGTTTGGCTGAGGACATGAAGCAAGAGGCCGGGCTCACTGAGGACCGGGACCTGGAGGGTTAAGCCTTCCCTCCCTCCTGCTTGCCCCCTGCAGTGTTGGCCTCAGCTGCTTGGAATCCCTGGGGTCCTGTAGGGCCCTCCCGCCAACCAGATGGGCAGCTGCGCCAGGAGAGGAGGAGGAGAAGTGGAAACAGGCCTCAGGGTACCCCCAAGGCGGGGAGGGGAGAGGAGAAAGGAGGGAGGACAGAAGATGGTTGTGAGGTGGGACAGCCCCATCGGCCTACAGTGGGAAAGGCAGTACCCCTCTCCCTGGGCCAGACTGGGGAGGGGGGAAGGGGCTGCTTCAGAGATTTGGGTGTGGGGAGATCAGGGCACAGGCCATCCCACTCAGCCGGCCGGCTCTTGGCGTGAAACCCTACCCCATGCTGGCCGCTGCTTCTCTCTCTTTTTTCTTAATAAGGTCGAATCAGTGAGTCAGAGGAGCCAAGTTTCCTGTTAGGCTCTGTTTGAATAAACTCTGCTCTGAACATAGCTTGGGCCTCTGCACAGGCTCCACAGGCCTGGACTGCAGCCCTGCCAGCTATCCCTGCTGAGACAGGAGACCCAGGGGTCCACAGGATGACCTGAGCCAGGGTCCTGGCCTGGCCCCAGCCACTCCCCCGGAAGCCTGTTAAGCTCTGAGATCTTCAGAGTCTTCGTCTGTGCCCTGGGGGTAATAATACCTTTCTTGTGGCATATCTGGGAGGATGGAATGAGAGGATTATGAAAAGTACCCAGCCCAGTGCCAGACATGTGGCCACTATTTTCTTTCTTTCCTCTTGACTCGTGAGAGGAGGGGTTTATCTCCTGAGGGTGACACTCCCCGCCATTTTCTCTGTTCCTTTCCTGTTTTTATCTGTCTTCAGCATCCTTCCTTGCCCAGGGTGAACCTTGTGCAGGGCACGGCCTGAGATGACACCTCCCCCAGGGCCTGTCCTCTTCCTCTCCATTCCCTCCTTCTGCCCTCCTTCCAGGGTAGGTCTCCCACAGTGGCTGACATGGCCCTTCTGGGCCAGAGCCAGCAGCCCTGTGAGCCCAGGAGAGCCCACCTGTTCCTACCTCTCCAACGCGGGGCTGGCCTACAGCAGCAGTTGGAGGTGTCCTGGCATCCTTAAGTTGAGATCTACAGAGTGGGAGCCTGAAAGAGACTTGCACGGGCTATGGAGGGTGCAGAGCTGGGGTCAAATGAGGGCTTGTACTCACCAAGCTGGGCTGGGCCCAGCTGGGCCAGAACATCTCCCCTCTCAGGCCTGTCCCTACAGGCTAGGATTCACACCCAAATTTTTAAGACCCAGGCATGCACTTGAGGCTTGCTGCCAGTTCCTGGCACTGGGAACTGGTCTCAAGGGAGGGCTGTTGATATATGGCTGAAAGAGCTTGTTGATAGTGCACGACTTTATTAAGCACCTACTGTGTGCTCAGCTCTGAGTTGCTGGGGTTCCCATGGAGCAGCCAATGTCCTAAATCCCTGTGATGGAACTCCATGTTCTGGAAAATCCACGGAGTCTCCTCGAGGAAGCAGCAGGCCTGACCAGCAGAGAGTCTAGGGAGCAGAGAAGGGACAGGAACTGTGGGATGCCTCAGTGGTTTGCAGAAGTCAGAATTCTCTGTGGTTGGCGGGAAGGGATGAGGCCAGGCCTGGGGCACCCCTGGCCTCTGTCTCCCAGACAGGGCCAGCTGGGTCCCTCTCCCCCTCATGATTGCTGATCACTGATCGCTGGTCTGGGCACCTGGGTGGGAAGCTCAGGAAAGGCCATTGATGGGATTTGTGCTGAACTGGGAATCAAAGCCCCAACTCAGGACTGTGAGGGCCCAGCTGCTGCCTCTGGAAAGTGGGATGGAGGAAATGCTGAGTGAGGAGGCAGGGCGAGCTGGCACAGAAAGCGCTGACTCCGCAGTGAGAGGACCACCGAGTGACCACTGCCAGCTGGGCCCTGCGCCCACCCTTCCCCCGCAGCCACATCTGGCGCAATGGTGGGGGAGCCAAGGCAGCCATGGAGGGGGCCCGAGGAGGGGACTGGGGCCCTTTGGTTTGTTAGTGTCTCTCTTCAGGGCTGGAACTCTGGAGAAGCCCGGAAGTGGGGGAGGTGAGGTCAGAGACTTTTCGAGGGACAGATGGGGTAGGGGAAGGGAGGGAACCCACCCTTCTCTAGGACCCAGGGGAATTCTGTGGCTCTGGCCTCTTCCTACCCTGTATTCCCTCCCAGCTCTCTGGGCTCCCTCCCCCATGGTTCCCGGGGAATTAGAAATACCAGAGCTGATATAATAGTCTGGGCATCGAGGCCAGGCTCTGTTGAGTCAAGGGGCCCCGCTCAACCCCCTCAGAGCTTCTCCCCTCCCTGACTGTCGCCTCCCAGAGACTGGTGCAGGTATGGCTCTGGGGCCTGCTGAATGGTAAAATTCCCTGTCTCCACCCTCAACCTGGGGCCAGGAGCTGGTGGAGGCAGGGGCGGGGTCATCATTGCAGGAAGGAGGACTGGCTGAGGAGAGGTATCTCATCCTAGGGGCCTTCCTTGGTGGAAGGATTTTGCTTAGTTGTTGGCTGAGGACTGCTGGGTAGGAGGGCCCCTTATGTCAGTTCTGGGGGTAGACCTCAGCCAGCAGGCAGAAGGGGGAAGGAGGCAATGGTGACCCCTGCCCAAGGGAGCTGGCGAAACCAAACAGGATGCCAGGTCCTTGGGCTACAGCCTGACAAACAAAGCCTGCAGAACTAGGAGGGAAACTAAGGCAGGAACCTAATGGTTCTACTAACATACTGGCAAGGCTAAGGGAAGGCTCTTTCCTCTCTCTCTCTCTCTCTCTCTCTCTCTCTCTCTGTTTTTTTTTTTTTTTTTTTTTTTTCCTTTTTTTTTTTTTTTTTTTTTTTTTTCCCCTTTTTTTTTTAATTTTCCTTTGGTTTTTTTGGGGTTTTTTTTCCTTTTTTTTTTTTTTTTTTTTTTTTTTCCCCTTTTTTTTTTAATTTTCCTTTGGTTTTTTTGGGGTTTTTTTTCCTTTTTTTTTTTTTTTTTTTTTTTTTTTGCCTCTGTGTCTTTAACTTTCACTTGGATCTCTCTGGGTTTCTCTAGCATTTTCATTTTTTTTAGTAACTCCCCACCTCCCGCCCATTTTCTCATTAGTTCATTCATTGACGCATTAGTTGTCTGTTTCCCTCTGTCTCCATTTGTCTCTGTTCTCTCCCATTTCTTTTATCTGCTCCCTGGGTCTCTATCTCCCAATTATTCCTTCAC